CCAGAGCCCCCTACCTGCCAAAAAAAAATTTGAAATCAAATTTATCAAATCCGAAAAATCCGCGCCCGGTTGAAACACCCCCGACTGCCCACTCCTCTCTTTAGGCCTGGCTACTACATCGTGGAAAACCTGTTGAGGAACGCTCTTCCAGGCCGTTTGATTTGTCAATTAGGGGATTTTGGTTGGCTAACGAAATTCCCCGATCTAAATACTGCAGCTGACTCCAGGCCCCCATGAAAAACGTTCGCCAAGAAAACGACAATCTAACGACAACCGTGATGCAAAATGTCATAAAAAGAGCCAAAATTTGCTTCACAACTCTGATTGCGACCAGCCAACCACCTATAAGACATGTACATACATATATGTGACACGTAAAGTTAAAAGGGACCTACGCTCAGAAAAAAAGATTTCGAGAAAAACGACTTTGAAGTTTACCAAGTTGATTTTGATGCTTCTGAACGTTTCAATGGATTGAAACTCGTTACTCGGGGGTTTTAGGGGTCGCTGATTACGGATCTGATGTTCGTTTTCAAAAATTCAAAATGGCGGATCCAATATGGCGGAAAAAATTTAAAATTTGTTCGGATTCATGTGAAGCTCAAAAATGTCGTTGACACCGAAAACGAGGTCAGTGATTACGAATCCGATGTTCGAAAACCCCCGAGTAACGAGTTTCAAGCGAATTTGATTAATTTCAGAATAGTTTGTCATATTTAATTTTTTTGTACTTTTTTTTGTGAAAGTACCTAACTTTTACGGTTGCCAGACGTACTGATTTTATCAGTACATTACTGATTTTTCAACTCTTGTACTGATTTTATTCATTTCTTCAATCAGTACGCTAATGTCCTGTACTGATTTGTACTGAATTTTCTATTCAAACAAAATACTTTAGTATTTTCTTAAGGTTTTACATAACGTTGGAACTTCCTTAAACTGTACTGTAAAAAATAAGAAGAAAATAATTGATTTATAGTTGACATGTTTTAGATAATGTTCGATATGCCCAAGAAATTAATACAACAAAACGATCAATCGTTTTATGGGCATATCGCCGGGACGTTACGTACCAGTTGCGATAATATGACGGAGCTTAAATATTTAAAAAGAAGGTTTAAATTTTTGTCGAGTGTTGTTAGTTATCTCGAAAATAACTTTCAGTTTAATAACAATAAATTTCAATATTCGAATGGCTTTCGCCTATAACTTACAACTCGTTTTTCTCAATTTACTGACTTTACAAAAGAGTTTTGCATACAAGACATAGAGTTACGATACTCTTTTTATCGAATTCTTAGGGTTGGTTTCTCCTACTCAACTTAACTTAGTTAAGCCAATTTGTTTGACTTAGTCAAGAATAAGCTGTGTAAAACGTAGGCTAACTTTTGACTTAAGTCCGAAAAATGGCTAAACTAAGTAAAGTTGAGTTGGAGAAACCAGCCCTTAGTCTTTCTTAGTTTTTGCGTAGTTGAAAAATTATTAAAGCCATGAGGAAATATAGATGAACTCCTTAAAATAGTGGTACTTTTTCACGGTATGAGAGGATCTTAAGAATAAAGTTTGTTTCCTGGCGCAAAGAGAAACCGGCTTCTAATTACAATTTTTGAAAGTGAAGTTCAAATTAAAAGTAATTTTAAAATGAAATGTATAGATTTCTTTGACTATTTAAACACTGAAAATGGGAATGATCTCATTATAGCTATTCATAAAGTCACAAATATATAATAATTTATATGCTCCTATGTATAATGTTGTGTACGCTCATGTTAAAATGATTAACACTTTTATTTTTTATGAAATATATTTTATTTATATACCAAAATATTGTTAAAAAGAAGAACTCAGGCGTTTTAAATTATTTTCTGTTACTTATATTCATTATTTTGCTTTGAATAAAAATGTACTGAAAAGTACTGATTTTTTAGCATTAAAAAGTCTAATGTACTGATTACGCGCATAAAAAATCTGGCAACCCTACTAACTTTGAAGTGAAATTGTGAAAAAACGAATGCAGCTAGAAAGCTGCGGTTTATTGCATTGGAAAGAGCGGCCCGTTTACTATAAGAGTCCACGAAAAAGTGAAAACCGATTTTTTCTGACCGTAGGTCCCTTTTTACTTTACGTGTCACATATATAATCTTCAAACATAAAAAATTAAATGCATTGCTTCAAATAAACACGCAGTTAAAAAGAATAATATGTTTTAATTATTTTTGGAATGACAGGAAAAGAAAATCGGAGGGTAGATACTTTATGCACCACCTTGTATTATGTCAGACTTCATTTTTGGTGAGGCCAGTCCTGCAGAAATACATACACATACATATATGCTCTAGGAGCATTTCTGCATCACAAAGACAAACTTAAAAAAATGTGGCTTATTTTTTTCGTGGTTGGGCTCGGCATTATTAAATACATTTATATAGGACTTTTTATATCGATTTTACCGATGTCGATATTGTCCAGCGCTACATATGGAACGCCATATCGATTTTACATGCAATGAATTATTTCTTAAATATCGAATATTCCCAGCCTGGATTGACAGTAAACATGGTTATGTTAAGTCTTTTGTGAGGTGATTGCTACAACTCGACCCTTTGAACGAAGCAATCAAGAAAGAACTTGACCAACAGAAAAACACAACTCCATGTTCCATCATGACAACGCCAGGCCACAAACATCTTTGATAACTCGGAACAAATTGCAAGTCCTTGGTTGAGAAGTTTTAGTGCCCGGAGCTAGCATCGTACGTTTCCAAAAATCATTTGGCCAATTTTTTTCGTCGATAAAATTATACACCGATGGCATAATAAAGCTACCCCCCATATGTGCGTGTGTGTGTGTGTGTGAGATATTGGGCTTTGAAGTTGATCAACAATTTTGACAATTTAGCTGAATAATCGGTGAAAACTCCACACTACCTCTACTTCAAAGGCGAATATCTCAAGAAATATCTATGCTAGCGATTTGATATTCTGGAACTTTTTTTTTGGAGGAAACTGAATTTCCCACAAGTTTTTCATTTAAATTTTTTCAGTAGCTCTTTTTATTAAAGAGATAGGTGCAAAAAATGAGAATTTAATTAAAAAAAAATGGGTTCAGTGACCCGTACTACCTCGCTGGTGGGAGTTAGGGTTACGCCGCAATTCTGAAGAAACCCTATCATTGACCAAGTTTATACCATAAAATGCGTTTGAGCTGTAGAATTAAAAAAAAAAAATCAAAGGTTATGTGTATTTTAAACGGGAAATCTTTGCACGCCTTGGTCGAGCACTTAATATTAAGATTAAGGGCTCAATATTTTTAGGGAGTTTTTTTTTTTGTATTTCCCACAAAATTTCGAAGTGGGAGTGAAAAAAAAATAGTCGCGAAAAAATCACCCTAATGTATGTATGTTAAGAAAAATTATTTTCCCTCTCTTGAAGAATTGGCTCTTTACTATGGAAATGGTATGTATAAAGTTTCATCAAAAGACTGTGTACTTTATGGAAACCATGTAAATGACGGGGGTATCGAGAGTAGGTATAGTGATAGTGCTGAACATATATACATACATATGTATGTAGACAATCAGTGCCGGATTTAGCATCTATGGGCCCATAGGCTCTTTCCGTGATGCGGGCCCACCTGAGGGTACTAAGACAAACGGCGGCCACGGGCATTCACCAGATTTTAGTTTTTTTTTTTTAAGTTGTAAACATAACCTAACCTTAGAGGTAAAAATTACGATTAGTTTTTTCTATAAAATCTAAAAAATACATGCTTTGTAAATTTTAAACCACTTTATACCTTTTTTGTTTTGCATAGTTGGATGGGTTTTGATTGAAAACAACTTTTTTAAATTTTCACATACGTACAGTGCCGAAAAAAATATTGACACAGAGAATTTTTCGCAGTCTATGCAAAGTTTTTTATTCTAATTGAATAAACAATATTTTTGAGTTTTTGTGTACCTGAAAGTCATTTTATAATTAAGTTCAAATATCAAATTTATAAGTTTCATTATATGTATGACACTTAGTTTACTTTTATTTGTAAAACAATACAAGACTTCGTCGAATCGACGATCATTAGTACTAACGTGTGTAAAATACGGTTAGTACTCTAGGGTTGGATTTGTAGAAAACTATTTATTTTTCGTTTTTTTTTCAATTTGTTTTTCTTTTTTAAATGAATTTTCTTTTAATTCTTAGATTTTCTTTTAAAATAAAAAACTTTTTTTTACGTTAATTTTCTTTTTTTATTGATTTTTTTCTTTTTTAGTTTAATTTTTAGATTTTATTGTTTTAAAAAGAAAAAACACACATTCTTATGTTAACGGCCAAACCCGATCTTAAGTCAAACCTGTTTTTCCTAGGGTAAACTATTTCTACCTAGATCCGATACATCCGTCCAACGTGGAAACAAGTTGGACGCATCAATATGGTGGACTGCGTAGCTGGAGTTGGACTGATGAGGGTTATTTTGAATCGCGGCCGAAGACCTCCTACGTGGAAAGGTGCTCTACGCAAAAATACTGTGGCCACTGATCTAGTTTAGCCTATGCAAAACTAGTTTGCCCTAAGATAGGGTTTGGCCGGTAACATATACATTTTTTTAATGTCATCTAATTTTTATAAATACTTTAATTTATTTTTACGTTCTTTTCATTTACTCTTTTGCCAGACTGTCAGGCCACTTTGACTCGACTAAAATGCTAATCAATTTGCTCCTTGCGCCAAATGTCAAAGTAACATAGCCCTTCCTTTTAGCCAGATGATTAGTTCAAAGCCATTTACACTTTTAAATTTGGAATTAATGTAATTTAACCGAAAAAGGGCCGAAACAGAAATCGATAGATATCCAGATATATGCATACCAACTATAGCAGTACCATGCAAAATACACACGCAGACATATCACAAATCAGTGCCTGGCACTCATCTACTGCATACCGCTCGCCCAATAACACGACCGGGCAAAACCCAGACAGACTAAGACATTTTTTCACTTACCTGCAAACTCTGAACCAGCACATCGAATAGGGCACTTAACGTATTTCCAAGTATCGCATGTCGGGCGATTTGTGGACAAAGAGTGCAGGCATTGCGGTACAGTTGCACAGCGAGCACAACAGCTCTGTAAATACACCAATAAAAAGCAAATACATTTTAATTTGACAAGATGAAATGTCTCTTAGGCTCGCATACCTCTTTGGAATGTCATTATTCTCCAGCATACTTTTGCTAATCACATTTGTGGTGATGACACCGAGTCCATCCATGAGCAGGAAGCACTGGAAATCAAATACTTGCGCTTTGCTCATCAGACGCAACAGCTGGCTGACAGCGCGTTCCAGGCCCTGTGAGCCACCGCCTTTACTCACGAGATTCAAATATTTCGGCACTTGGCTTTCACGTTTCATATGCAATGGCACCGGTTGTTGTTCCTTCATATACTCCTCGGCACTGCAAATAGTTTCAAGGAATACAAAAAGCAGTTAACATCTAACCCTTTATTGATTGCTATGTATGTAGACTTACCTCTGCGCCATACGCTGCTTCAGCTTCTTCATTTTCTTTTTGTAGCCGCGCGTGTGCTCTCGGCTGCCCACATCCGACACAGTCGAAGACAAGTCGCCATCCTCAGCAACTAATTCGCCATTTTCATTGCGCTGCATGCCATTCTCATCCGCATTGCGCGTAGGCAGTGTCAGCTCCAGTGCACGTTGGCGTATATGCTCGATGTTCTCCTCATGACGACGCGCAGAGTCCTGCTGCTTTTGCAATATCTTACGCTGCAGCTCCTCGGTCGTCTGCTGCTGCTGTGTTTGGCGCGCCAGCAAGCGCTCTTCGCGATCGCGCGCCTTTTCCCGTGCCAACGCCTGACGTTGGCGCTCCTTTTGCTCCTGCATTTTGCCAATACGCTGCTCCTTCTCCAGTCGCGTCTCATTCATTTTCTCCAACTTGCGCTGACGCTCCTTCTCCAACTCTTGGCGGCGCCGTTCTACAGCTGCTTCGCGTGCTGCCTTCTCTTCCAAGCGCTTCTGCCGCTCCTGCTCCAAATCTTGCAGCCGACCCTCGGCATCCTTGCACGATTCAAGCAGATCCAAGCGTTTATTTTGCGCTTCGATATTTTTGATGAAATTTATCTCTTTCAACTTTTTCTCCTCGTCGTGTGCTTTCTCCACTATTTGTCGCAAATACTGCTCGCGATTCTCCGCGGCGCGCTGCATTTTATCCTCCATCCTTAGGCGCTTGTCCTCGATAAGCTGTCGCTTGGCCGCCTTCACATCTTCGACACGCGCCAGCAGTTGTTGTATCTTAATGGTTTTCTCTTTTTGCACCTGCTCACGTTTTTGTTGCGCACGCGCATGCTTTGCCTGATACTTTTTCAGCGTTTCGTGCAGTGAGCGGCGACGCGACGGCGAGGAAAGCTTCTGGTGCAGCTCCTGTGCGCGCCCCGGATGACGCGCCACATATGCCTGCAACGTGGCCAACGCCTCCTCGCGCTCACCGCGCGACATTTCCGAAAGTAACGCGTGGTAGCGCATCTCCAAGCTGATATTCGGATCCATACCGTCCTCACCTGCCGCTAGAAAGGCAATGGACGAGGCATCGTCTAGCAGTCGATCCACCGCTTCATTGCAATCGTGCTCATGATCAAATGCCACTTCGCCGTCGGTCTCATCCGTCTCAGTATCAACATCGATTTCGGTATTTTCCAATTCACGTATTTGCCGCTCCAGCGATTCTTGCTCCTCCACCAGCATGCGCTGATCTTCGTCGCAATCTGTTTCGCTGGCAAAAGTCTCCTCGTTTTCGTCGCAACTTGAGAGTTTTCCAGCACCGGTGATGGCGCCAACGTAGCCGGCTGCTTTAGCCGTCTGGGCAATACTTTCATAAAGATCTCCAATGGTTTTGGAAAAGTCGCGATTGGTTTGTATTTTTATATCGATTTTGTTTTGGTCAGCGGACTCGGCGCTGTCGGGTGCTTTTTCGCTGTTGGTTGGTTCCTCGTTCGCTATAAGAAAAAAAAAATTAAATGCAATGGGCGTCTACGTAAGTAAAACTTCTCTATATGCATTTCTTATTCTTCCGTCACATCCTAAGTGTCACATTTTTTCGTGACAAGTTTTTAATTCCCTACCGCCGATAAAGAAGTTCCACTTCAAAAAATATCTTGATAAAAGTACATAAATACGCCGATTCCACTTACCATCCATAACTGTCTCCGTTGAGTTGGCTGCAGAACTCTCAAGCGAGCCTGCGCGCCCGCNCTATATGCATTTCTTATTCTTCCGTCACATCCTAAGTGTAACATTTTTTCGTGACAAGTTTTTAATTCCCTACCGCCGATAAAGAAGTTCCACTTCAAAAAATATCTTGATAAAAGTACATAAATACACCGATTCCACTTACCATCCATAATTGTCTCCGTTGAGTTGGCTGCAGAACTCTCAAGCGAGCCTGCGCGCCCGCCTTGTTTTCGATGCACATACTTCTCGCTTCGCATATACTCCTTGTGCAGCGAGGTCATCTTCAGTCCCGTCAAATCAGACTTCTGTCGTTTGATGATCGTCTCACGTGTTGGCACAGTGGAAGAGCGTGCCAAGCTGACGCCGCCATGAGCATTGCCACCGCCGCATTGCGTAGCTGGTGCCGGCTGAGCAGCAGCAGTAGTAGGGGGGTTCTTTCGCTGAGTGGGCAGTGAATTGACTTTCGCCTTTGCATTCTTTATTTCCGGACGCGTCACATTTTTCACCGGTTTATCAGCGCTCTTTTGAGCCTTTACTGCTTTCGCTTGTTTCGGTGCCAATTGGGTTGTGTTCGAAGTGTTATTGCTATTGCATTCTGTCGGAGGTTCTTTCTTTGGCGCAGCCTTTTTGGTCCGCTGGCGATCTTCATTCTCGCCAAGCTGCTCGTTGAAGAGTGCTAATGTTGGAAGGCTGGCATATCCCGTTGGCTGATTAAAGCGATGTGCCCAATGCATGCTGGAGCGGCGCCGATTCTTCACTGTCAACCAGCCATCGTTCGGGTCGGACGGCAACTGCTTCGGCTCCGAACGCCGGTCGTCTATGTGCACTGCGCCGGCAGCAGTTTGCGAGAGACTGCTTCTGGAAGACGATATGAGTTCTGTACTGGCTTTGAGCGTTGAACTTGAACTTCCAATATCTTCTCGCGATGACTTTTGGGAAGCCACAGCCGTCTGTGCATTGCGTTTCTGCTGTTGCTGCCGCCCATCGCGTGGCTTTTGCTCCTTGGGCTGCATTTCAATCATCGTGCGTGAACGCGCGGATAAGCGTGAAGCAACATGCGTTGGCGGTCCATAATGCTCAGTCTTGCTGGACGGGCGCGTTGTAATGGGTCGTGAGCCAGCTCCGGCGACTGCAGCCGCTGTTCGCACAGAAGCAGTTTTTATGACAGAAGCTGTAGTGGCAGAGCGACGTAAACTGATGTTGGGCGCTACCTTTTGCGCTTGCGATGCAATTGGCTTATTAGCTGGCGCAACAGCAGGTGGAGGACGCACCGTTATTGATGGTTTTGAGACATTCGATGTGGCAGTGCGTGCAGTAGCGGGGCGATTTAAGACACTGGAATATTTTAAAGGACCATTTTGAGCGGGTGCGGCCACTGCTGTTTTCTTCGTACTGTCTGGAGCGACAGCATCCTTCTTATTATCTGATGCGCCAGCGCTGGCAGCTGCATTGTTATCAACTATGTGGTTTACATTTTTCAGTTCAGTCGTTGGCGGTGTTGGCATTTTATTAGCATCTTTGAGGAGAATTTCGTTCTCCATTTCGTTCAGTTTTTGCACAGTCATCTCTAGTGCAGTTGGCTCGCGATGCATCCCGAAATGTGAATCATCCGTATCGGTGGCGCTGGAATCATTACCGTTTTCTACAATTGCTTCCTGTATGCTACTTATATCTGCAGTTGCTGATGAGATCTTCTCTTCTTCTTGCCGCAAATTCTCATCCACCAGCTTGTTCTCTTCCAGCAAATGCTGCTTCTGCTGTTGCTCTAGCAATTTTTGCTCGGCCTGCTGGCGTTCCCGCTCATGCTGCTGCAGTTGTTGTTGCTGCTCGAGCTGCTGTTGTTCTAGTTGACGATGTCTCTCAAGCTCTTGCTCTTTTCGAAAGCGCTCTTGCTCAGCCTGCTCAGCCAACTGGCGCTCCTCAGCTTCTCTCTGCATCTTAATTCTTATATCTGCTAATGTTAAATGATCATCTTCAAGATCAGTCTGCGCATACTGATGACTCCTATTCGGCAAGTCCATGGGCTCGGCTTCTGCATGCACCTCCTGCTCAGTCGATGTGAATTTCTTTTGATCGTATCCATCTATTGAGCGCTCATTAACCGTGCTCACTTTACTTGGGGCGAACAGTTCGCGCACAATCACGCGCATAGCTCCTTTCGGCAGAGGATCGCATGCGCGCAAGCTTTTGCGTGGCGATGGTGAGTCTCCACTACTACCTCCGCAACAAGGCGATGACTTCCCGGACGTGCATGGGCATGCCGAAGGACTGGATTTGCCCGACATAGTGGGACTTGTTAGACTTTTGGCGCGCACACGTGGTGCAGGATTACTCTTGCGCACCTCCCATGCAAGTGAGTGTGGGCGCTGCTGCAACGGACGTGACTCGAAATCCCATGAAACTTTGAACCATTCGCTCAGCGCTTTGAAATCACGCACATAGTTTTCGAGCACCAAAATTGCCTCCTGGCACCATGATATGTTCTCACAGCATTCCACCGTCTGATAGATTTCATTGACAGCACGTTGCAGATTGCCGAATAGCAGTGCCCAATAACGTGCTTGCAGCTCAGATTTTTTATCACGACCTGTGGAAGCGCTACGCACACGCGGCCCCGCATTTTGCAATTTCGCCGAACGTATTGGCGAAAGAGCGTTCTTCAGCGAGTTGGGTGATTTCGATGGTGCAACTGGGGGTTTGCGCACATTCAGAGAAGAGGGTGAGATTTCTTTTGAATTTTAGAAGTTAAGAAATTATATATTGCTACATACAAATATAAATATTACTGTGTCAAGTACTTACTTCCCGTAGCATTTTGCCTTCCATCAGTGGGCGGTTGCTCTTCACAAAATTGAAAGACAAGTAAATTTTTCGCATCTCTTCCCTCACGATGCAAAACCTCCTTCACTTCCATAGCGCAGCCAATGTCTTTGTTTCGTACGATATTTGCGCTTTGTGTGTGCAACTGTGACCTCACCTGCTTTAGCCGCAGCCGCTATTTTACCGCCCACACACACCACACCTGTGCAATATTGCAAGAGTTCCAAGTTCGCAAAGTTTAGAAGTGAAACTAATTTGAAAGTGATATACGTTTCAAAGCACAAATATTCGTTAAATGTACAACCAAAGTCTATTTAAATACGTTTTAGGGCTGCGGGCAGTGAAATTATAGTTTGCCTTCCTATTCGTGATTGCCTCCGTGTGGTTGATTGTTGCCGTTCTTTACAGTCTTTTTTTCACCTAGAACACTATTGCGCAATTCTTTCGACACTTTTTCAGATATTTCACACAGAAATATATTGCGAGCTCTACATTCGTATCAAATTTGTTTTATGATCACAAATTTTATTTAATTAGTAGTTCAAGTCAAGAAAAACATATAGCTCACGAAAATTTGCTGCAATTCAACTCCTCGCTTGATGTTTTCGTTTCTTTTCTATGCATGTTTTTCATTGGCCAACTGTTGTCTGTGTGTGGGTTTTTGTTTATAGATGAAGACAGCTGACTACAGGGTTGCCTGGCGTGACAAAGATTTCTTAAAATCTAATGGGGCAGATACACCACGGAAGCGGTTTGTCAAACATGTCGAAATTTCCCTTTATCACTAACCTGCTGTGCGGTGTGAGTGTGAGGTTTAACAGGGAGGGAAATTTGTACAAAAATAAATATTTTTTGATTTTCTTTCGCCGTGTTGAAGTCGGAACAAATTGCTTGTGTTGTGTGTGCAAACATTACTATTATCATCATTAAATAACACCAAAATCAGAAAAGCTTATAAAACATTTTGATTCCACGAGCTCTCAAGAAAAAAAGGTCGTATATTTATTTCTTCAAAAAAAATACAGCAAAGGCAAAGAGTTTTTTAAGCAAAACAGGAAAAATGAAAAATGTTTCTTACGATTTTTCGTGGGAGCTGAATTCCAAGCTTTTATGTATGAATCACCAAAAAAACAAATACCTTTTTTTTGACGTTTTTTCAAATAAATTGTGAAAAAAGTTACACCTATGACATTTTCAATTGCTCGAATTACAATCTCTGTTAATATGCATTTTGCATTTTTAGGCCACAGGCGTTTCAAGCGCTTAAGCTGAACTCCATATATTTTTCAGGAGTTGCGTCGTACACGCTTTCGAAGTCTTTCGGGCTTTACAGGCTTTTCAGGCAAGCACCTCCATAACGCACTTTTTGCGATTGACGTTTCTTCGAATCTTTTACATTTTGCAGTAAGCGGGAGAATGTTGTAGGAATGAGTTGCTAGCTCGTTAAAGTGATACTTCTTTTACCATTTCATTTGAATTTATTCACTAATTTTTTTCACCTCTTTCAAATTAATTTTCATATCATAAATAATTTTGTGTTAGATTCATTAAAAGTATTATAAGTGATAACGATTACAACATTGCCATAATCATATTTACCAGTACTAGTGCTCGAATGCGACGACGCCTGAAAAGCCTACAAAGCCTGAAACAAGTTCGAAATTTGGTACCTTTCAGGATTTTCCGGTTTTACGGACTTCGGTTGTGGAGCAGCTTCTTTACAATTCAATGATTCAATAATTAAAGTTTAGATTATTATTGACAGCCGCCGTTTGACACTCCCTTATTTAAGGTTGCATTTACGAAGGACAGAGAAAGGAGAAGAATGAAATTCCTTGGTGCGAAAATGGTAGTAGAAAAGTGCGCAAAGTAGGCAATTAGTAGTGAAGTGTATATTCTAAAGAGCGAAATACACAACACAAGCGGCTTGACAAACCAAGCGAAATTTCCCTTTGCTTCAAGCCATTTGTGCTGTCTATGGGGTGTTTGAAGGTTTGACAAACCGCTTGAGGGAAATTTGAGCAAAAATCAAAGTTTTTTGATTTTCTGGCCGCCATGTTGACGTTTGATCAAACCGCTTGCGATGTGGATGGTAAAATCGCCTCAATTGCAACTGAAATTTCACCAAGTGAAGACGTAAGGGAGAATAATGGTAGAAAACTAAAATGTTTTACATTGTTAACCGAAAGAAAACTAAAATTCTGTGCTTGGACGACTCATGTTTGCATGGTCTATGGCAAAATGGGAAAAGTATGTTTGACAAGCCGCTTGTGTGGTGTATTTCGCTCTTAATGTGTTTACAGGAAATTGGGCATTTTATACGAAATATTGAGGGATATAGTAAGATATCTACATGAAATTACGTAGTTTAATGTGCTTTATATGCATATGCAAATAAACATATTGTACAAAAACGTAAAATTCTATTTCACATGAAAGGACAACTGTCAGTTTATTGAGCCTTTAATTATTGAATCATGATAATAGCAAAAAATCATATTTCAGGCTTGAACGCTTCAAGCCGCAACGCTTGAAAAACCTGTTATGGAGCTTTAGCTTTAGGGATCAAAATGCGCTGGTTCGAACCGGTTAGGGATCAAAGTTTTTGTTTGACATTTGGCATTTATTTGACAGTTGACATTTTGACAGAGTGCAAAATTTCACACACACATTCCGTTAGTCACTGAAAAGAAAAGACGTGGATTCTAATTGGCATTGTGATACAGATTTTCCACCTTTGGAAAATCCTTAAACAAAATAAGAACTTGTATACACAATTTACTACAGTAAAGAACTCGCCTATACTTCTCAATAAAAGAAAATTGTGAAAGCAAGAAGGGTATTCCTTCTAAACCCTGCTAAAGGGGCGGTGAAAAAACTGTGAAGACTCCAGGTGGAAGTACAAGTTTGTGTGGTGGTGTGAAGTGAAAAGGCTCCGCCGTGATGTCACTGCTTCTCATTTTTCGTTAATTGGATTGCTTGTTCAGTGCCTCTTTAAAACCAGCCTTCTATTATATACTTTGGATACTATTGGAACTGCTTGATCTACTATCGCGCACACAACGCTACACATTCAGCAGCGTCTTCTCTTTAATTGAGCTTAGTGGATGTGTATTGCAGCAATTTAATTCAATTTAATAAATAACTACAATTTATTAATTAGGTTGCAACTTGAAGTGAAGCCGATGTGTTTGGCAAAATCTCATATAATCATTCCCCCCCAGTTATTTGCAAAACGGCAGTAGCCAGTTGAGAAAGAGGCCATATATCAGGCACAAAACGGAAAATTAGAAAATAAAGCATGTTACCTAAGAAAGAGTTATGCTAAGTGATAACGACAACAATGGAAGTGGAGCGAATGCCGAAGTTGAAAAATTAGAAAAAACGTCCATCACAAAAGCAGCGTATTAGAGCAAAGTGAAAATTTGGTACTGTGGCTTAAACGGCCAAAGCGGATTAGCAACACAAAACGGTTAACAAAAGCGACACATTTACATACACGTCCCTCTTAACGCAACGATTGGAACGCTATACAGGCGATCAAGTCACGAATCCGCCCACAACAACCTGCCACGCCCACTATTCAAATACAGTAGCCGCCGTAAAACATATTGTAAACACTAGTTCGGCCGCCGTCCACTGCATATGATACAAATCGAAAGCGAGAAATTAAGAAAGTAATCGTCCCACCGTTGCGGCGTACACACATTTCTTGAGCGACATCCCCCATTCCGTCTAATACACATTAAACATAAATTCGTTTCGTCCCAATACATCAGCCATTTGACATTTAATCCCCCAAGATCCCCTCCAAAAATAAACCACCCGTCCATTACAAAACCACAGCACACAAACATAAAACGGCTGCAGTATGTCGGAATTGGATAATGCCGTCACGGTCGGCAAAACTAACGAGGAATTGCGTATGGAAGTCGAGCGGCTAACTCGCGAATTAGATCAGGCGGCCAGTGAGCGAGCACAGTCAGCGCAGTATGGTCTTTCGTTACTGGAAGAGAAATCGGCGCTCGAACAAAAATGTGAGGAACTGGAAACGTTGTACGACCACGCCAAGCACGATTTAGATATAACACAAGAGGTAAGTCAAGCAAATATCGAGTGTGAAATGTAGAGACACATTTGTTCTTAAATTGAATCCATCCTATATAATCTGCAAAAAGGAATGATATTGCACGAAAAAGAAGTAATCAATAGAAACATTCCTCATCTCGTTGTTAACCACTATTTAAACTATTGCCCATAACTTCCTTGCGCCGTTTCATACGTAATTTAAGAATGCGTTCTTCCTATCCGGAGCCAAAAAATAGAATATAACCTGCACGTTAAAAATTTGCTATATTTGTTCCTAAAGCACTTAACGTTAAATACATTCAGTGAACTTTGGCTCAATTGCTTGTTTCATTTGTTTCTAATAATTTGCTTGTTATCAAATGCAACGGCACCCCTGTTCTTTGATGTATTAAAGCGAAAGTCTGCTTTTGCGGCCGTTCTAAGTGTGGAACGCTCGGCAACAAGTAAGCAAGCAGTTAAAAAATTCAGCCAGTTGCGAGCAAAAATGGGTATGCTTTGCCCGCACCACCGCCATGGTATAATTATTTTGTATTCTCTTTTTGTTTAACCTCGTTCGTTTATTTTTACGCTGTTTGCTTTGCTGCAGTAGGTTCGCAAAACACGTAATCATCGCAAAAAGATTTGCTAGTTATTTGTTAACAGACTTCGCTGTGCAGTGGGTAGCATAATTTTGAACAAAAATTTTATATGGCGGACTTGCCAAACTTTCGCCAAATTAGTATCATAGTTTTACGTTTATCAAATTTTTGTGTTTTCGCAAGTCACGTGGCCATGATAAGGGAAGCAATAGATTTATTTGGCTAACAGAGTGTCGCTTACGAAATTAGCCATATTTATTAACTGGTTTGCTTCATTAAATTTCATTTACGAAGAACTTCCACAATCAAATCATGCAGCCATCGCTTTCGTACGTACATAGTGTAGTACTAGCGATTGCGACATTGTCAGTAAAAAGCAACGAATTTGTGGCTTTCACATGCAGTTGCCCCTATACTCGAATGGCAAGAGCATCTCGATGAGTTCGGCAAGGACACAACCACACCCTTCGCTCTATAGCCATAAATTAGATTTCGCTTCTAACTTTATTACAATGAAAAATGCGCCACAATGCCAAATGGCAACACTCGCCAGTGCATGTCTGCATGTAAGGGCAAGGCTAGTATAGCTACGGTTACTTATGTTCCTACCAGCTTGACTAAATAGCTAGACCTGATTGCTTAGTAATGCAACAATCTACGCCGGGTAATGTAATCCCAAAAACATCAACGCCACCTCCCACAACAACAACAAGCATAGCAATTAATTGTATAGATTGCACTTGTGTTTCAATGCTAGTGTAAATGTTAATTGCTTTTCCACTTCGTTTGAAAGCGGGTAGGGGTGTGGNTCCACCTCCCACAACAACAACAAGCATAGCAATTAATTGTATAGATTGCACTTGTGTTGCAATGCTAGCGTAAATGTTAATTGCTTTTCCACTTCGTTTGAAAGCGGGTAGGGGTGTGGAAGTGAGTGCAAGCGGGAGGTACCACGCAAACGCAGCACTTTTTTCTACATTACTCACTTCTGTTGTCATTCGTTCATCGGTCGGTTAATTGTGCCCGCAATGCCGTCATGGACGTTAACCAAAGTTGGAATGTTTCCAATTTCAACAGTTTGTGCGGTTGTTGGCATGTATGTACATGCATATGTATGTATATACGTACCTAAGTATTTTTAGAAAACTTCAAGTTGGTTTGAATTCCTTTGATCGAATTAAAGCTACCTCATTAATTTGCATTCCCTGCTGCATTGCTTGCATCAAATTTGCAACTTATAGAAAGGAAGAAAGAACTTTACATAATTAGGCAACGCTAAATAGAACTCTTTATTAAGATTTATATAGGATTTAGAATTGATCCCTTCTAAAAGTAATGCTATATACATATTTGGCGTTCGCTGCAGTTTATGTAAGTTAAGAATCATTGCTAGCTAGCCAATAATGCAACAGAGTTACTGTACTTAATGGCACTATCTTCATTACAAAAGAATAAGTTTGAAATTTTGTATTGTATTTTGCAAAGAAACTAATAGGCAACATAGACTGTGCGCTTGACTCGCGAGTCAACTGTGTACGTGTTGACTCGCCTTTCCACTACACACAGTTGAGTCATTCAGAGTCATACCCCTTTGAGGAAAACCTCTAGTTCTGAAATGGTGCGCTTCTAGTACATTTAGACTAACTACTTCGCGATAAATCTCTTTTGCATGCAAACAACTGGCGAATTTAACACGGCAATGTCATAGGAATTGGAAATTGTCCCCCGCTGTATTTCCTTTTGTATAGTTCAAAATCAGTCCTAAATTCGACAGATGGGATCTAGTTCGCTTTGCATCCCTTTTTCTATAGTTCTCAAAATGTTAACATGTTAACACAACTTTTAGCTTTGTATTTCCAAACTATGACACAGCATCTGCGAAGTGCAGACTGAAAGCGTATTTGAAAGAAAAACCCGCTAAGCAAAAATCTATTTAAATTATTAAAAACTATTAAATTAAACAATCCACCCGCTTCGGTAGTTCCGAACTAGTTCAAAATTCGCCAGATGCGATATAGTTCGTTCTGCATCCCTTTTTCTATAGTTTCGAACCAATTCTTAATTCCTCATTTTAGATCAGAGACATGAGCCTCTTAACAGGTGGGTACCAAACCAATTTTTTTTTAAGATTGAGTCATAGGTAAGAAAGTAATTTCTCCGTTTTTCGAAGTTAGCCTCCGAAATCGAGATATCGGCCTTCGAAGTTCGAAATAGGGCTTTTGGTAAAAAATTATTTTTTATTATTATATGTAAATTACTAATAAACTAAAAAATATAGACGTAGTCCGCCTATTGCTCTTATTTAAATGGTATACAACCTTATTTTGTGCAAACTTATATTACTGGTGCTAAAGGTCGGGACTTCGAAAAATTAAAAACCTTATATTTCGAACAACTTTGAACTGATTTAAAAAAAAATTGTATCGTTGTAAACGTGATTAAACCCCCTTTCTTCTAAAATGCATATTTTTATACTTCGTACGTAAAAATTTGAGAAAAAACATCCAAGAGGAAATAATACCTTTTTTTTTATAAAAAAAAAAAATATTTTAAACCAAAAAATTACTAACCGATTTTTAAAAAATTTACATCGTTGTAAACGCAATCAAACCTCCTTTCTTCCGATATGCGTATTTGTGTACTTCGTATATAAAAATTTCAGAAAAAACATTTAAAATGAAAAATACCGTTTTTTTATAAAAAAATATTTTAAACAAAAAAATTACAAACCGATTTATAAAAAATTGGCATCGTTGTAAAGGCGATTAAACCCCCTTTCTTTTAGTATGCGTATTTGTATACTTCGTATATAAAAATTTGAGAAAAAACACTTGTTTTTGCACTAATGCTACTACCTGTTTGATATGCCTTGCAAAAAAATAAAACTTGATGTTTTTGAGAAGATTGAGTCTTGTTTAAAAAAAAAAAACGCCGCCTTTTTTAATTGTCATCATTTCTAAAATTTTGAAATTTTGTAAGAGAGAGAGATGTTTTTAATCATTACTAAAACGATTTTGCTGCCGTTTTGCTCTAAAACCACACTTTGCGCAATAATTTTCAGAAGCCCGTAACTCAGTGAAAATATTTTTCCCAAAACAAAAAAATACGTGTATCTTTATTTGCCGCAAAAAAAAACAAAAAAACAACACAAAAAAATTTTATTAAACTTGATTTAGGGCATATCAAAGAATACGGAAATAAGCGATGAGGTCACGTGAATTATTTTCCTGCGAGGAAAAAATAACTTTGAGGGATGAGAAAGTATACGGAGAAATAATAAGCCGGATCAAAAAGGCTGAATATTGGTATTATCCCATCTCTGTTCATATACGATACTGCCTTGATCAGTCGTTTAACACACGTGGTTAGAAGTCAATAATAAACGATACTGTTAAAATGAAAATATAGTTATTATTAACTCAAAAAGGGGCCCCGCGTGTTTAACGGCCCTGGCCACCACTTTCTTAATCCGGCCCTGTTAGCACATGTAAATAGAAATTCTAGATACATTTGCTTAAACACAAATAAAATAGACATAATGATGCTTTTCACACGCTGTTCATAAATAGCTAAATTGCGATCTATTAGCCTTGCTATAAATATCTTATATTGCAGGTATCAATTTACCTAGCGCTATATTTGAAATATGCTAATTAATTTAGGAAAAAAATTAGAACATTCGAGTTTATAAAGTCTGCATTTTCTCACCTTCTCTGTGCGCGGAGCCTACGATTTTTCTGAATTCAACTACAGAATGCAATGACGCATGTTTGGCATAGTCACATAAGCGACAAGGTTCGTTTACCAAATATGCACATACATACATATCGCACACGATCTTCAAAAGTGACAGTGAATGGATATTGGACATAGAGAAAGTCAGCCAATGTTCAGAAATTAAGTTACTGGAGAGCAGCTGGCAAGCTACTGCATCATTTTTACATGAACAAACCTATTTTTAGTACGAATTATTTTACTTTCCCTGCACTTACTTTGCCACACAGACCAATTGTATAGGTTAGTTTAGGTAGGAGGGCCGCCTCCTTAGGAAGAGCCACACTTAGACATGGATTAAGCTGTCCATTGGGATGCCCTTAAGAGGAGAGAGTAATGTCATAGGAAGAAATCATACCTATATGACGTTGGCACCTAAGGCGCCTTAAAGGGAAACGCTTCTTCCCCCAACTAGCTTTGAGTTGCGACTCAAGCGACTGATATCCATTCCCGTAAGCTCATCGGGAGAGTGGAAAAGTGTGACCCAAGACGCTGGAACCTTAGGCTCGCAAACTTAGATCGTCAGAGCAGCAGGTGTTATGATGACTCCACCTCATCATCCTCCAGTAAGGTCCATTGTTGCTATTCAGCCTTACCAATTTGCACCAATTGCAAGAGTTACAACTTGCTAAGTCCCAAAAGCGGTTTGGAACGA